TATGTAATGGATAGTTAGAAAGAACATACGAGAAACCGAGGCAAATACTTTAAATAAATATCTCGATCTCCTTACGAAAAAGCTTCTGTTTTAACTTCTGACAAATGCGAAAATGTCATAGTATTGATGCAGAAAAATTCTTCGAAACATAAAAAGGTGTGAAAACGCTACACCTTAAGTTTGTTGTGAAGATACAAATACTTTTAACAAGATACCCGCTCGCAAATTAAAAATAGCAACGAATTCTCAAAACTTTCCTTCAGTACCCTTATACAGTTGACCTTTTTTCCTGGAATTTTTCACAAATATTAAAAAAATATATGTATAACCTTCTGTCTATATCTATCTAGCTATCTATATTTAAGTAAAACAACAACAAAATTATCTGTATTAAGGGTTACAGCTCCCCGGGGTTTAATTTATCCAAAAATATTTTCTATTGTTGTTTTAACTTTTTATTTTAAAAATCATTTTTGTTCCATGGGTGGCACGGCAAGTAAATTGAAAGGGGATGGTGTGTGACAATCAAAACACAAATTGCAAATTGTCTTCAAAGGTTAAGGGTGGTTACCACCACTCAAATATCCAACACCTTCTCTACATCAACGCGGCGAATGGAACGACAAAGAATGAAAGAGAGTAAAGGTAGTGAAGACATTTCCTTACACATTGTTTACGATAAATATACATTTGTGTAGCATTATGGACAAGAAATGTATTCTTCGACCCAGTAAATTGCCATGAAATAGTGCCAAAGTTGAAAAGGCTTTCGGTTACTAGCAGGGTTAGTTATGAGTTATGCCTTGTTAAAGCGAACATCATATATTTACGATTTTATTGGTTTTTTTTTTTTCATTATTTCGGGACGAGTGTAATGATTTAAAATTTTAAGTAAAAAGGAAAACCATAGGGACACTTTTACAAGACTTTGATGTGGGTGTCTTACAGTAGCCGAGCTTTGGAAAGCAGCATTTCAGCTCATCGCATAGTGGTTAGTACGAGATTGTGTCCCTCTGGCTTTCCTCTTCACAGCAAATTTCAGATCATTAAGCTCGTCTCGTCTCGGTAGAAAAATAAACAACAAATACTTTCATTGAAAATGAATTATTTGGTTTCATTGTAAGTGAATTATTTGGTACCCGGACATAATCCCCATTACAATTATGGCGATTATGTCCGGTTGTTTTGGTTATAACTCCCATAATTTTTAGCTAGATTACGACAAAACTGATACGTACAAATACCTAGCCAACAAGTGGTCATATCATGGTGTTGTTTGAACCGGTACCGGAGTAATACATACTTCTCTACCGGAACTTTTTGAAAAACACAACAACAAAACACAACGAAAAAGATCTACTGGTGCTATATGTGATGATATCTCCTGCAGTTCCGAAGATATTGATTTTAAAATCGAAAGCCGGATACTTACAAAAGTTATAAAGTTTAGAAAAACTATGGATGACACAGCCGGTGTCGGACAAACCCCAGAGACAAAATCTTAAGCCCCGGTCGAAGGCAGGCTACTTATAAAAGTTATTAAGTTTGGAAAAAAAAACTATGAATTGCTTAGCCGGTGTTGGACATTTCCCAGAAAAACATGAGAAAATGTCATGCCCCGGCTGAAGCCCGGGTACTTAAAGGAGCTATAAAGGTTAGGTACAAAACTTTAGTAGATATCAGTTTTGTGGAACCGGATAAAATCCCGATTATGTATTTGAACTTTCGGGACGAATAACTTAGTAACTGGGTATTTCTCATTCGAAAAAAATTACTTTTCCGTAATCAGGTTAAAAATACCTACACCATAATGGGGGTTATGTCCGCTATGTGTTGGAGGTATTATAAGTTTGATTGGGCCAGAATTTATGTAACACCTCGAAATATTGGTTTCCCACATAGGAAAGTATATACGAATCTTCCTAGCTCGCCGAGCTGAGTCTATCTAGCTATGTATGTCCGTCCGTCCGTCTGTCCGTCTGTCCATGTTAATTTGTAATCACTCTACTGGTCGCAATTATGACCCGATCTTCACGAAATTTAGAATGTAGGTGGGGCTTGGACCAGAATAGAACCTTATTTCTTTTGGAGATGATCGCCAAATGTTTAGGGGTTGAAATGGACCAAATACTGAAAAAATGTCGGATTTTGCAGTAGCTATACAGGTCGCAATTATAGACCAATCGACGAATTTAGCATGCAGCTAGAGTTTAGGGCGGGGAAGAAGCCTACCAATTTAAGTGGTCATCGGATAATATTTAGCGGGTAAAATATACCATAACTTTTGTGTTGAAAAAATTCAAAATTTTTCATTAAACCGTGAATATTTTAAATCCCGGCGAAATCACAAAGCCATTACAAGGTTACTTCTGACCTTTACATTGATGTTAACATCCAACAAATCGAATATATAGCAAAATATGTGCGATATATATGTCTATCAAAGAAGATATGCTTGAAAGATCTCTTATATGTCGAGAACGGCTGAACTGATTTCGACAGTTCTCATTAATTCAGAATGGCCTATTGGCAGGAAAGAGAAAAGGTCTAAAAAAATCGCATAAAAATATCTCTCTAAAGATGAAAGTATTGATTTTGTAACATTTTCTCATATTTTTTTTTTCATTTTTTTTCAAATTTTTACATATTTTCATTTTGAATTAAACATTTGGTAATATTTCTACAGCTAACAAAACTAAGTAGTTAGGATATCAGGATATCATATACACATCGCATTTATGGCCCGATCCTTACGAAATTTTGCATGGGGATAAGATGAGGGTCAGAATAGAAGCCTACTCATTTTGGAGATGATCGCCATATATTTAGGGGTTGAAATGGACCAAAAAACTGCAAAATTGCCGGCAGGTCGTAATTATCGCCCGATCCTCACGCACATTTGAATGGGGGTTACCGGACATTGCAAAAGCCAAACAGTTTTGGATGGCCATCCAAAAATATTCAATGTGTGAAATAGTTTGCCAACTTTTGTAGACAAAATACGAAAATGCCCATTCCAGTGACTTTTTGGAGAATTCACAAATACAGGAAAGACGCACTTCTGACTATTTCGGTAACGCTGATTTCGTTGAAGAATATAGTCAAATGTCTGTATCTCATATAGATGTCTGTATCTCATATAGATGACTACTGAGAGATTTTAGGTCTTTGGGAAATATTGGTTCCAGATCTAGGAAGACCATTTACGTGCAACATCTACCAATAAATTGGAAATGAGCAAATTAGTTTAAGTTGCTATTATTCGAAAATTAGGGAACGAAACCTGATGGTTTTCTTTTATTATTTGTCACAATATCTTGTGGAATTCTTTCGAGTACATATCTCGCCTATATAAAATGTATCGTTTATTATAGTGTTGTAGGGTATTCAACGGTCGGCCCCGCTCGACTGTAGCCTTTGCTTACTTGTTATTTAACAGGTATGCTTTGGACACACCTCTTAAACCTATAGTATGGAGGGTACATTAAGTTGCTCACTACGTTTGTAATTAATCATTGAACAGCGTAGAATTCCCTGACAATCTGATCAGATTTAGGTATAGCTCCCATATATCTTCAACCGATTTCGGGTTAATTGTGCACCAAATGGCCAAAATCTGTCCAAAAGTCTTGAATGTTGGCATATCCAACTGAATTCTGTCTAGAAGGAATTACATCGAATTTGGTGAAAGCTCCCAAAAATATGTTTCATCCGATTTGGTGTTTAAGTCCCTCACATTCGTAATACATTTTATGTAGAATACATTTTACGCGAATACATTTTATCGAGATCGGTTTAGATCGATTCAGACTGGATATGCCTCCCATATATTCCTTCCCTCTGGAACCAAACTGTAACTGCTCTAAGACCAAAGGTTGATAGGAGGTATGATCTACTTTAAATAATTTTTTTTGTTATGGGAGCTCTACTAAGTATGCATAGTGGTGTAGGGTATCATATAGTAAGTCCCTCCCGACTATTGACTTTTCCTTACTGGATTTACACTTGTGTTGGGGAAGGCCCAAAGTTGAAAGATAAGTTAGATGAGGCGAAATACTAAGACCGTTCTATAATGATCGTTTGGAGAAAAAGGACATAGCTTCGGTTTTTAAAATATAGACAGACAGAAGACCTGTAATGTCATAATAAAACCTTGAAACAAACACCTCCATAAAAAAATCCATGAAAATTCCGTAAAAGGTATTGGTGAACTTAGACCCATGATATTGAATTGATGAAATTTTGTATCATGTTAGTGAGAACATAATTGTAGATTCGTCAACCAATATCAACTGGCAAATCAATAAACTTACGATTCAACTTATGATTTCTCCGTAAATATTTTCCTGCGCAATTGTCTGTTGATTTAATACTGATTGGATATTTAATATTTCCAGTAGGATGGACTTAAACTGCTTTTATGTATTTAAAATGGTTTATGCCTTTCGAATGTTGGCCGATAGGCAAACGTCCACTGTGAAAAGGAGCTTCCGTCGAACGCTGAGAAGATTGTGTCCAATGGATGGAAGATAATCCCAATTTAATTTACAGCGGTATGCAATTAAAAAAGTTTAATGGCAGAAAAGCTTTAGGAAACCTAATTTTGGGAAATTTTTACAAATTGATAAACCAATATGGGCAGATAAACCTCTTACAAAAATAAAATATCTAATGACCGTTGTTCTAACCCAACATCGATTGAGATTTTTGCTAAATTATGTATTTCTTTTTTTTTTAAATATCAGCTTTTTTAGAAAATTCTCAATAACATTTGTGCATTCAATATTTTATTTTCTTGTTTCCTTTTTTTGGGAGAGGGACCTTCTTGTTTACATTTTATTTGCACTAATGATGGTATTCATGTACCCATATAGGTATGTATACTCGTAATATATATGTTTGTTACAAATTCTGTTCTCTGTATTAATTTTTTTTTTTGTTTTGCCCAATACCGACACATGAGAATTATTGTGTATTTTCTTTTCTTACAATGGACTTACCTTATCTTGATGGTACCAGAAAATGTGAGTTGGTGGCTCAGTACTAAATTTTATTACGCATGTTAGATTAATTGTGCTTCCTTTATCAACATACAGATCGGGTCCGCCCAATATGGTCGCTGTTGGCACTAGAAAAGAAATAATAAAATACAATAGAATACATACATACATTTATATTTACAACGGTGTCAGCCCTATAAAATACATAAATAAGTGCTGTACATAAATTAGTACTTTCAGTAGGATGGTGGTACAGTAAATACACAAGTAGCAGCAGTCTTTAATATCGTGTTATTTTTATTTTTGCTAAAGAACACTTTTGAAGAAATTAAATTCATTTTTGGTTGTCAATGAGGTAATTATCATGTTATTTTGAAAAATTTGTAAAGGTTTAATGAAAATCATTCTTTCTTAGGAAATTGTCCTTTACACCCTCCCCCATTCTATTAATTTTGTCAATCCGTTTGTAACTCTGCGTAATAGACATGCTAGACCTTACAAACTATATATATTCTAGATAATCGTAAAATTCTAAAGTGATATTCGTCTGTCTGTCATGTGTCTGTTGTAATCGGAAGATAGAAGGCTGAAATTTTGTACACATGAGTATTTTGCCAGTAGGCGGGAAAGGTTCGTAAATGGGCCATGTCGGTTCACGTTTCGAATAGGCCCCATAAAACGGTGCCTCTCAATATTCGGAATTTTGATGTTTTTGGCGACATTATAGACCTGAATTGTTTCAAATCTCATATTGGCAGATCTTAATGGGTGCTACAACCTATGACAAAAAAAATGTGCATGCATATCTCACGATATTTGGTATTTTAGTGCCATTATATATAGCGGAATTTATTTTTAAATTGCAATTTAAAATTCCTTATGGGTACTACATTCTGTGACAGAAAATTGCTCAAGCAGTTCCACATTTTCGAATAGCCCTTATATAACGATACCTTCAAATATTCAGTATTGTGTTGATTTTAGCGATATTATCCACAGGAATTGGTTCAAATGTTGTATTTTAAGTTGGGAATCGGTACTACAGCATGTGATAAGAAATTCGTATGCAGGTTTACGCCTTCGTATATCCCCCATATAACGATGTCTCCCAGTATTCGGCATTTTAGCGACATTATAGATTGGAATTATTTCAAATTTCGTATTTAAGCCTATGACAGAAAATTGTCTATGCTGGTCCATGTCTTCGTATAGCTTCCATATAAGGGTTTTCATTTAAGCTGAATTTATCTCCGAAATATACATTTTAGACCCTACAAAGTATATATATTCTTGACCAGTACAAAATTCTATGACGATGGAGATCCTCTAGCTTCCGAACGAATTGAAGTAGGTTGAAAAAATTTTTCTCAGATGTATTTTTGGTGTTGCATATAAGCTATCTTCTTTTTTTATACCCTACACCACATAGTGGTAAGGGTAATATGTATTTGTGCATTTGTTGGGAACATAGAGAAGGATGCGAGATAAACCCATATTTAATTTTGAGGATTTTCATAGAATCACAGTCCGTCTGTCCACGTATTCTTGTGCAAGAAATGCAGGTCGCATTTATTATCCGATTGAGATGAAATTTTTCAAACAATATTTGTTTGGCCCAAGGACGAATCAAATTGAAATTTGTGATAATCGGATCAGATTTAGATATAGCTCCCATATATCTTCAACCTATTTCGTGTTAATCGTGCACCAAATGGCCAATATCAGTCCAAATGACCTGTTTTTTGCTACATCGCACCGAATTCAGTCTAGAAACAAGTACATCCAATTTGGAGAAAATCGTTTCTGATATAGCTATAGCTCCCGTACAATGTTTTATCCGATTTGTTGTTTTAAGTCCCTCACATGCGTAATACGCACTCCAGAAGAATGATATTTGGTACTGGACATCAGATACTGCTCGAAAATACCTCTGTCAAATTATATCGAGATCGGTTCAGATTGGGAAATAGCTCCAATATATATATTTATCCGATATCTGGATTATTGTGCACCAAATGGCTAATATCAGCCCAAATTTTTATACCCTACACCACAAGGTGGTCAGGGTATTATGCCTTTTTGCATTTGTTTGTAACAGGCAAAAGGAAACGAGATAGACCCATAGTTCCTTTTGATGATCTGCATAGAATCACAATATTTGGGGAAATATATCAAATACAGCTCAGAAATATATTTGCAAAATTTTATCGAGATCGGTTCAGATTTGGACATAGCTCCCATATGTAACTTTGTTCGATTTACCTTTGATTGTGCACCAAACGTCTAATATTTGCCCAAATTCGATGAATTTGGCACTTACGACCGAATTGAGTCTTGAAGCTAGTATGCCAAATTTGGTTAAGATCGGTTCAGATATAGCAATAGCTCCCATATATACTGTTCATCCGATTTGTCATATTTGTTACCCACAGCCGTAATATGCACTCCGTAACAACGATATTCAATTTTATCGAGATCGGTTCCGATTTGGATATAGCTCACATATATATCTTTATCCGATTTCATATTAATTTTGCACCAAATGGGCAATACAAGACCAAATTTAAAAGATGCAAATGCTTCGGCATATTTAGTCCATTGAAAATATATAAATATATTCATAGCGTGTATGATTGAATTCTCCCATAAAAACTTTTAATTGTTATGCGCAGCTCTACTAAATTAGCAAAGTTGTGTAGAGTATCATAAAGTCGGCTCCGCCCGACTTTAAGACTTTCTTTACTGGTTGCAATTAAACCAGTGCACCGATTTCGAGTTAATTGTGCGCCATATAACCAATATCTGTCCAAATGATTTGAATTTTGTCATATCTGAGCGAATTCAGTCCAGAAGAAATCGGTTCAGATATAGCTATAGCTTCCATAAATATGTTTGATCCGATTCGTTGTTTAATTCCCTCAAATTCGTAATATGCATTCGACAACAATGAAATTTAGTACCATATAAAGCTCAGAAGTACCACTGCCAAATTTTGTCAAGATCGGTTCAGATTTGGATATAGCTCCTATATATATCCTTAATCCGATTTGAGGTTTATTGTAAAAATAATGGCTAATATCAGCCCAAATATAGTGTTGTTTTGAGAGCTCCACTAAATATGCGTAGTGGTGTAGGGTATCACCCGTCCGACTTTTGACATTTCCTTACTGTTTTTTTTTTTTTTTTTTGAAAATTTTCAAATTTTCTCTGTGGAGGGTAATAAGAGTTCGGCCCAGCCGTATGTAGCTGCTTTTCGTTTTATTATTAATTATTTACCATTTTTTCCTTCAAGGGTCTTCATGTGGCACTAATGAAAATGCCCCATAAAAATTTAGTTTTTAAATTCGTAATCTAAGATCCCATGCTCCTCCATTGTTCCATTTCCCCAATCTATGTTAATTATTCTTTTCCACAGACGAGAATAGTTTATCGCCTGAAATATTTACTGCAGCAACAACATTATAAGCGAATTATCACATGCTAATCTGGAAACGAACGTATTTCCTGAACAACAAATAATACAACTTGGTTGGTAATTAGCTTAGCACAGTTAAGTTTTATTGTTATTATTATTATTGTTGTTGTTGTTATTAATTTTCTTCTATAATACAGCTGTACTGTTTACAAGTGGTACAACATTACACATTTACATTCACCAATAGAAAAGGCTAATTGTTGGCTGGCGGTTAGTGCCAGTCATAGGTCAATACAGGGCCATACAGGATGTATTACTAAATAGGACATGGCCCAACATATTTTAAATAGAATAATTTGTGTTTGACCTTCTAGTATTTTTGTCAAATCATCTGTTAAATAAAGGCTAATAACTGTTTTTAGACAACATAAAAGATAAGTTCATAACATTTAAATGTGATTATTTGTCCATTTTTAAAATTAATCAATGCCAACCAAAAAATGGTAACCAAATGAACCACATAAACAATTAAGACCCAAATACGTAAGAGGATTTTTCGGGCATATGTCATATCTTGGCTATTTAGATACAGGAGCAAAGGCATTTAGGGTGAACTCGTGTAAATTCGTCCAATAATTTGAACTTATGCCCGAAACAACATATTTTAGACTTTTACGAAATATTTCAAATTAATTACTCTTAACACTTGTAAAAAGAAATAAAAGGTCGTTCCTTAACTCATGCGGAAAGGGCAAACGTTGGCTGGGACGACTGTATGGTGTACAGCACCACCATGCAAATTAAGTAGAGCTTTCCTAATCAAACATATGTATATATTGGGTACTTCTGTAAAATAAATAATGCCAACTATTATCGCGATTGAATTAGTATTACGGCTTCAGGGAGGTCTAAATTTCAAGTTAAACAATTTTACACGAACGTTTTCTTCCATTTTAAAGTTAAATACAATCCAATGGTTAATTTTCAATTATGGCCTAGAAAATTTGAAAATTTTAATTTAAAATTTGAACCCCTAAACGTACATCCCAGGAACAATTAATTCTTTAATTCTGACCCTAACCCTACCCCCATGCCAAATTTTGTAAGGATCGGACGATAATTGTGACATGCATATAATACCATCAAAACGTAGTGTAGCGGAGTGTAAAAATTTAGAAAATTAAAAATTAAAAATTGTAAATCAAAAATTGTAAATCAAAAATCACATGCGATAAAAAAAATTTGACAAAAATTGAAAAAAAAAAATGGAACAAAAGATATTCATTTTTATTGGTACATTTTTCTGCGATTTTCTTCAATTTCATCCTTTTCTTTCAAGAGACCATTCCGAATTGATAAGAATTGTGAAAATTGGTTCTCGACTTATAAGCAAAATAAATAAGAACTTTAAAATAAATAAGATCTATTCTTTTACATATATACTGTACCTATTTTGCTATATATCCGATTTCTTGGCTATTGGAATCGCTCTAATGGTCAGAAGTGACTTTTTAATGTATTTGTGATTTGACCGGGATTAAAAATATTCGCGGTTTAGTGGAAATTTCCCTATTTTCTTACATAAAAGTTAGGTTTTTTTTTACCCACTAAATACTGTCCGATGGCTCCCAAATTGGTAGGCTTCTGACCAGTCCTAAACTCTAACTCCATGTAAAATTCCGTGTCGATTGGTTCATAATTCTGCAACTGCAA